CTTTTCTTCTCCCTTTCCTTCTTCCTCCTTTTCTCCCTCCTCTTCAGGTGTTTCGCCGGCTCCGCCGTCGACTACTGTATCTTCCTCCTTTTCTTCTCCCTCTTCAGGTTTTCCACCGGCTCCGCCGTTGATTTCTGTATCTTCCTTCTTTTCTTCTCCCTCTTCTGCTCCTTCCTCCTTTTCTTCTCCCTTTCCTTCTTCCTCCTTTTCTCCCTCCTCTTCAGGTGTTTCGCCGGCTCCGCCGTCGACTACTGTATCTTCCTCCTTTTCTTCTCCCTCTTCAGGTTTTCCACCGGCTCCGCCGTTGATTTCTGTATCTTCCTTCTTTTCTTCTCCCTCTTCTGCTCCTTCCTCCTTTTCTTCTCCCTTTCCTTCTTCCTCCTTTTCTCCCTCCTCTTCAGGTGTTTCGCCGGCTCCGCCGTCGACTACTGTATCTTCCTCCTTTTCTTCTCCCTCTTCAGGTTTTCCACCGGCTCCGCCGCCGCTTACATCGCCGTCGACTCCACCGCCGCTTACATCGCCGTCGACTCCACCGCCGCTTACATCGCTGCCGGTTCCTGCGTCACCCTCACCGCCGCTGATTCCACCGCCGCTTTGATCGCCGCCGGCTCCACCGTCGACTCCACCACTGCCGGCTCCTGCGCCACCCCCACCGCTGCCGGCTCCTGCGTCACCCTCACCGCCGCCGACTCCACCGTCGACTCCACCACTGCCGGTTCCTGCGCCACCCTCACCGCCGCTGATTCCACCGCCGCTTTGATCGCCGCCGGCTCCACCGTCAACTCCACCACTGCCGGTTCCTGCGTCACCCTCACCGCCGCTGATTCCACCACTGCCGGTTCCTGCGTCACCCCCACCGCCGCTGATTCCACCGTCGACTCCATCACTGCCGGTTCCTGCGCCACCCTCACCGCTGCCGGTTCCTGCGCCACCCCCACCGCTGCCGGCTCCACCGTCGCTACCACCAGCTTGGTTTTCCTCTCCGGGGATCGGCACTACTGGCTGGGCAGTGCAGGCCTCTGTCTCAGAGCACAGGCACGGCGGTGCGTCTGTGCAGTCGTCCCTTTGGCGAGAACGCAGGCCTGGCTCTGGGGAGCCGCACTCGCTCCACTCGCCGAATGGGCTGCAGGTGTCGGCTGCACATCAACACGCATTCCAAACACATCGTCGGACACGTGAACAGCCCCTCCAGCGCTACGTCTGTTGCTCGACTGAGGCTGTAAACTGTGATGCGCAGTGTGCAGCCACGGCGGGACGACAGAGCAGTACGCCGCCTGCTCTTTGTACTGTGCAACCGCTCACCGCCACACGCGCGCGTCTCCACAACTTCAGGGCAGTTGACTGGCGACCTGTGTTGCGTCCCGGTTTGATCGCAATCAGACCACTCCCCGTATTCGCCGCCTGAAGCCACGATTCACGCACACCACTTGCGGCGTCTCACCACACCACCGATGAACTGAAAGCACCACTCTAAATGGATGCGGTATTTACATACACACAGCCCCTTCATGGAGCATCGAACGGATACACACATATCAAAAAGCCAACCAGAATTACGTAGCCCCAGGCTTACAAGAGTTCGGGAGTACGCTTTCGCAGTAGCGTGTCTCGCGAGTTGTCTTCGTCTGGCCATTGGAGGTGACAACGCAGGTGCGCTTCTCCTGCCTCATGGCGCATTCAGACCAGGGTGTGCACACAGTCGAGTCCTCCTGCTGCTCCTGCTCCACCTGGGCGCTTGAGCACTCTTCATAGACCACGGTTCCACAGTTGTCCACTCTTGAGCGCACGCGCTTGCCTCCAACCTCGACAGAGCAGTCGCTCCACTGGCCCCACTCGCCGCATTCAGGTGCTGGCCCTGCGAAACCACGCACACACCCGTCACGCGTTGTAGCGTGATGTTTCTCACGATCGACAAACAATAGGAGTGGCCTTTGTAGACAAATAAAACGACCCGCCGGACGGCGCAAGCACGGAGACAGGAAATATCAAGGCATTGTAGACGCTGACTATTCTTATGCTTGGTGAGCAGGCAGCTGCTAGGGAGGCGGCCTTGCAACTACATGGTGACTCACGATTCTCGCATTGGAAGGTTTCAGTCTGCTGCTCGCCGTTGCAGGTGCGTGTGCGCGTGATGGTCTCGCCTGTGTGGCAATCTGCCGGCTCCCAAGGCCCGAACGGAGCTGCGAATTAGAGCACCGCACAGACAGTTTATAAACGCTGCCAGTTTGCCGGCGCTGGCTGCCTTGGGTGAACAGAGGCAACTACGTCAGCTGCAGCTAAGTAGGAGGCAGGGCGAACGCAGGGCCTCCTATGAAGCCTCAACACAGAAGAGCACCCCGCCTGTCGAAACAGGCTGCGTAGCCGTGCAGTACTTACTGCAGGCATCCTCCTCTTCGCTTTGAGTGGAGCAAGCGCGTGTCTCCTGGCCAGACGAGTCAATACACTGCCTCGACTGTTCGCCGTCCTTGCATGCAGACCACTCGGTCCACGCTGTGCACTCCCCTTCCGGCGCAGTGGTGGGTGGCTCGCACTGCTGCATCTCAATGCGGCCGCACTCATCAGAGGAGCGGCCCTTGTAGAACTTGTCGCCGACTGCCAAAACGCAATCTCCCCACGGTCCCCAATTGCATTCGTTCTCAACCTTCTCTGCAAGCAAGTTCATCGGCACGCACGCCAAGGAGTAGTGCTCAACGCACATATACACAACACCCCCAACAGCTTCGCACGCACAAGGAGAGACCGCTACACCTCGAGCAGGGTGGATGGTTCCCACCCGCCCTACTGCTGACTCTATCCAAAAGCAGGTGCTCATGCCAGAGAAAAACGAATGCCGCATTGTCTCTTACCTCCGCAGCTGCGAACTTCGTATACATGCTGACAGTCCCCCTTTACGCGGTATTGCTTATTCAAGTTGCATTCGGACCACTCAGTCCACGCTCCGCAGGTTTCGGGATCGACGGTTGTGCAAACTCTGCTTTCCTGCAGGGTGACGTTCGTGCAGTCTCTAGTCTGCACAAGAACTCCATTCTCGGTGGCATGGCAGGCGCTCCACGGTCCAAACGCTGTACACTCCTCCGCTGGGGTAGGAACCTTGGGCATCTCGCAGTGCTCGAACTCGACTTCCTCTGGGCAGTTGCCACGAGTTCTCGTGCGAATGCCCTCCTTCGGTGTGCCGCACTCGGACCATTCGCCAAAGGCCTCGCATTTCGCCTCGACTTCTGTAGCGTTCCGCCCCAACACGCAAAGACAGACACCCGAACTATCGATCCCACACTGCACGACTACGACCGTGGTCCTTCACCCCGGAACTGCATGCTCGCAGCTTTGAAGTGTCCTGTTCCGAGAGGCATACGTTGTTTTCTACAGTGCAGAATTCGCTGTGCATTTGGGTGCGTGTATACATACATATATATGTAGGCGTGTGCGAAATATCGGCTAATACTATCCATGAACGCACCTGGATCTTCACATTCACGGATCTCCTCAGCATCCTCGCAACCGGCTTCTCCGAATTTTTCTCTCTGACGACGGGAAGTGTTGTCAACGTGACTGCAGTCAGACCACTCACTGAACTCGCCGCACCCCTCCTTCTCTGGTTCAGCTCCCAGGCAGAGTCGTTGTTCTTTCTTGGAGGGCAGGACGATGCACTGGCGTGTGCTGTAGATCGACTCTCCAGTGCACTTGCTCCATGTTGTCCAAGAACTGCAATGCTGCTGTCCCGGCAGCATGGGCTTCTCTTCACAGGTGAAACCGTCTCCCTCGAATCCGGTATTGCAGGTGCAGGTAAACGAGCCAGGGGTGTTGGTGCAAGTTGCACTGATGTCGCACTTCGCAGCATTGCCCTCGCACTCATCAATGTCTTGGCAAGTCGTACCAAAGCCGGTGTACCCAGATCCGCAAGTGCAAGTGAATGAACCATCGGTGTTTGCGCAAGTAGCATGCGGGTCGCAGTTGTGCGTCAAATCCTCGCATTCGTCAATGTCCTGGCAGATGCCCTCGACAAGGTGGTATCCAGTATGGCAAATGCAGGTATAGCTCTCGCCGTTGGGCTCGCAAGTACCCTTGACACCGCAGGGTGCGAAATCGCACGGGCCAACAGTCTTCTCGCAGGTACGGCCATCACCCTGGTAGCCTTCATTGCACGTGCATGTGAAGCTGCCATCGGTGTTGGCGCAGGTGGCAAGCTCGCTGCAAGAGTGGACGCCGTCTTCGCACTCATTGACATCCACGCATTCTTCGCCTTCCTGCTTGTAGCCGTTCTTGCATTCGCATTTGTACGAACCCTGAGTGTCGACGCAGAAGCTGTTGTCGCTGCAAACCGCAGTCCCGGCGGCACATTCGTCCACATTCTCGCAAGTAATGCCATCGCTGCCCAGTTTGAATCCGGCCTTGCAACCGCAGGCAAACGAGCCAGTGGTGTTCTTGCAGACCCCCTTGTGCGTGTCGCAGTTGTGCTTGCTCGGGTCGGCGCATTCGTCAATGTCTTCGCATGAACTGCCATCGCCGTAAAAGCCACTATTGCACGTGCATTTGAAGCTGCCGACAGTGTTGACGCAAGTTGCGTTGGGGTCGCAGTTATGTGTGGCAGTAGCGCATTCGTCGATGTCCGTGCAATCGTGGCCATTCCCACTGAATCCGGGCTGGCATGCGCAAGTGAACGACCCGATAGTGTTTGTGCATTGTCCCCCAATGGGAGCACAGGTGTTCAATTTTCCGTCTAGACACTCGTCCACATCATTGCAGGTCGAACGCCGCTTAATAAATCCGCTTGTGCATTCACATTCGAAGGACCCATCAGTGTCCACACAGATACCACCATCACCATATTGTTCGCAGGGGTTTCCGGTTGCACATTCGTCGATGTTAGTGCATCCGTTCTCGCCCTCGCCGTCACCCTCGTACCCACTGCGGCATGTGCAGATGGCCGCGGTGCCTTCATCGTTTTCATGGCACGTCGCGTGTGCGTTGCATCCCTTCTCGGCGCAGAAGTCAATCTTCACGCAAGCTCCTTGGACAAGGCGGTATCCAGCGACGCACGTGAAAGTGTAGCTGCCGTCGTTGTTCTCGCAAATGGCGTTGGCGGGAATCGTTGCAGTCCCGTTCTCGCACTCGTCGATATCCTCGCAGCGTTGCTCATCAACGCGTTGGTATCCCTCCAAGCATTGGCAAATGAATGAGCCAGCCGTATTCTCGCACTCGGTGTTTCCACCACATGGCGAGCTCGCGCATTCGTCAACGTCTACGCAGCTGTGGCCGTCTCCCTGGTAACCTTCGCGACAAGAGCAAGTGTAGCTGCCAACTGTGTTTTCGCAAACACCGCCATCCGCGGCAATGGCGCAAGTGTTACTGGCCGTGTCCCCGCACTCGTCAATGTCCACGCATGTGAGCGTCTTGAGCTCCGTAGAGCCTGAGAAGCCCTCCTGGCATGAGCACTGGAAGCTTCCGACAGTGTTGGTGCAATTAGTGTGTTCCCCGCACGGGTTTTCCTCTTCGCACTCGTCGATGTCCTGACAGCCGTCTTCGCCGTGGCCGTCGCCACTATACCCAGCAATGCAAGTGCACTTGAAGGTCGTGTTGTCGTCGCTCTCAGAGCATTCGGCGTGCTGGTTGCAATCATGACGTGCTTGTCCGCAGAAGTCGATATCTTCGCACTTGACACCGTCGCCTTCGTAGCCAGGGTCGCACTTGCAGGTATAGGAGCCATCGGTGTTGGTGCAAGTGGCGTATACCGAGCAATTGTTCAGGTCATTTGTGCACTCGTCAACGTCGACGCATGTCTTTTCATCTTGCTTCTCATAGCCATCAAGGCAACCGCACTCGAAGCTGCCAATGGTGTTAGTGCACTTCGTGTTGTCGCCGCAGTCGTCGGCGTTTGTGGAGCACTCGTCAATGTCGTTGCACTCAGTGCCGCTGCCCGCAAAGCCTTCATTGCATTTGCACTCGAAGCTACCAGGTGTGTTTGTGCAAGTCGCAGAGGCGTGGCAGTTGTGTGTGCCGTTGGCGCACTCGTCGATTTCATTGCAAACATTTCCATCTTGTTCATATCCTTCCATGCATGTGCACACGTAGGAACCCACAGTGTTTCCACAAACGCCGCCATCTTCCGTAGCTGCACAGTCGTTTTCTCTAGTGCACTCGTCGATATCCGTGCACTGCCCCTCGGCCGTGCCGTCACCTTCGTAGCCGGCCATGCACGTGCAAACTGCGGCGGTTCCCTCGCTGTTTTCTGTGCAAGTTGCCAAGCTGTTGCATGCGCCGCGGGAACAGAAGTCGATCTTGACACACTGGGCGTCCTGCAGTTCGTAACCAGGGTTCGCCGCGAGCTCGTAGCTGCCGTCAGTGTTAACGCAGGAGCAGTTTGGCGGGATATGAGTGTTTGCGTCGGAGCACTCGTCAACGTCAAAGCAGTTGAACTGATCGTCCATGCTGCCATACCCTGGCTTGCACTCGCACGCGAAACTTCCAATGGTGTTTTGGCAAGCTGAGTGCTGGCCGCACGGAGACGTATCAGCTGTGCACTCGTCAACGTCATTGCACGTCTTCCCATCGCCGGTAAAGCCCTCCAAGCACTGGCACTCGTAGCTGCCGTCGGTGTTCACGCATCGTGCAGACACGTGGCAACTTGCGGATCCCGTTGCGCACTCGTCGATGTCGCGGCATTCATGGCCATCACTCGAAACGGGCTCATATCCGGTGTTGCACGTGCACTCGTAAGAACCCTGCGTGTTGGAGCACGCGGCATGAGCGTCGCAAGGCGAGTCGACGCACTCGTCAATGTCGGTACAGCCAGATGCTCCCAAGCCTTCGCCCGTGAAACCGGATTTGCACTCGCAGGTGTAGGAACCATCGGTGTTGGTGCAAGTTGCATTGCGATTGCAATCGTTCGCGGGTGCTTCTGTGGAACACTCGTTGATATCCATGCAGGGGTTCTCGGGAGTGCCGGCACCATCATACCCAGTGTCGCAGACGCACTTGAAGGTAACAAGCGTGTTGACGCAAGTGGAATGGGCTCCGCAGTTGTTCAGTGAGGGGTCTGCGCAGAAATCGATCTTGGAGCAAGGTGACTCCCGGCTGCCCTCTCCGGAGTAGCCTTCTGGGCAGCTGCAGGTGTACGACCCGTCGGTGTCCGTGCAGATGGCATTCGCAGAGCAAATGTTTGGATCCTGGCACTCGTCTATGTTCACGCACGGGCTCTCTGCACTCGCGCCTCCGGCGTAGCCAGTGTTGCACTCGCAGGTGAAGCTCCCCTCAGTGTTTTTGCACGTTGAGTGTTCTGGGCACCCGTGATTACCCGCGCACTCGTCGATGTCGACACAGGATCCATCCTCTCTCTGCTCGTAACCGGGCATACAGTTGCACTGGTATGATCCGTCGGTGTTCTCGCAGGTGGAGTGGGCTGGGCACTCGTGCGTGTTGTTCGCGCACTCGTCCACATCGACGCACGGCTTGTTGCTGGTCCCAGCACTGGGATCTGCATTCCATGCATCCGCGCATTGGCATATTGCATCGTTTCCGTCTTGCGTGCAGGTGGCATGGCTGTCGCACGGAGAAGGATCCTGGGCGCAGGGGTTGAACTCCACGCAGGTCAGCCCATCGCCTTTGAAGCCCGGCTTGCAACTGCACAAGCCAAGAATGGGGTCGCAATTTGCATTGGGGGAGCATTCTTCGCACTTCAATGCTCCACATACGCGAACCTCCTTACGGTCAGGGCAGTTCTCGCGCCACCTTGTGTGTGTGCCACCTAGAGTGCACTTGCCCGAAAGCGGGGGGTCCCACTCGACAAACTCGCCGCCTGCAATTTAAGACAGCCGCGCACAGTCAAAAGCCTGAGGACGGCGAAGCCGGGAGGCAAGCTAGCAATGTGCACACTGAAGCTTGGTTTCTCGTGCCCACAGTAGGTGAATTGCCTATTAGGGCACTTACATGATGTGACATCATCTGCCGACATGTTGCACTCGCGCACTTCAGTCATATTACAGGTGGAGTTGTGCCTCTCCTGTGAGTGCGTGTGGTCACAATATGTCCACTCAGTCCAATTGTCGCTGCACACTGTATCGGGTAGGGCACACGCCCTAGTCTCCTTAATATTAGAGCACCCTGACCTGCTGCGAGTCTGAAAGACACCTGGTTTACAGCCCGCATCGTCTGGCGTCCATGGCGAAAAGTCGCCACCTGCACGTCAGAAAAACAACACAGAGGATCATCATCATGCGCAGAAAAAGCACTCCTCGCCATCCCCCCAACTGGATCAAATGCAATAAACGACACTCGGCCAGGCGCCTGGATCTAATCAAACAGACAAATACTCACATTCCGAATTTTCTTTGCATTCCCGAACTTCAACCCATGACTCGCAAGTTGCACTATGCCTCTCTTGGAGACCTGTACTCGGGTCGCAGTTGGTCCAGGGTGCCCAGCCCCATGCACATTTAGTATACTCGTTCAAGTCTGTGCCTGAATAACAGCACACCACAATGTGAATGTCGGGTTTGCTAATCTGCCTAAACAGCGAGCGCAGCAGCTCCTACGAGCCGCATCATGACCCATAAAAATGCGGCTTGACTAAAGTGTCATGCGGCGGAGAGTGCTGAATAGTATGCAACGCGAGCCGGTACACAGTCTGTAGCGTCATGTAATCCACAGGGCGAGAGTCATTCACGGACTTCCTACCATTATCAGCAGCGCAAGTCAGATGGCATACAGCTCAACTGTTGTTGCCATAACGTGCAAAGGCTACTCGCCATGTACGATCGTGCGATAAGTCGAGTGGCACTTTAAAAGCAGTAAGAAGATTTAACAAAAGCTATTTCAGCACAAATAAACTTACCCTGCGTCTTTGCACTGCTATACAACGCAGCGAGAGTCGCACAGAGCGTCCATCGCGAAGTCCGTTGCAGCATTGTCGCCGCCAAGACGACAACGTTTAAACCCTTGTTCGCGCTACACTACAGTAGCACTAATCATCAAGGAACAAAATTTAGGTGGATAATTGGCTCATGAGCCAGAACGGGGAGCGACACTGTGAAAGGCAGTTAGCTGGGGGCGATATTAGCGCCCAACACCAGTGAGCTGCAGGAGGCAGACGAGCAGGATTTGCTCGAAAAGAAAAAAGAAATGCCAATTGTTGAAGTAACAAAGGGAAAGAATCCCACTACAGGAGATCAGGAAATGTGAATGCGGGAGCTCAGTTGACATGAGATCGACTCAAGCTAGCTGAGCCACTCCTCGGGTGTGCGACAAGCTGTGCATTGACCAGCGCCAGGTCTGGGAGTCTCTCACTCCTCCCCTCCACCAAATTACCTTATCCAGTTATACATGAAGATTTAACTTCAACAGGGCTTGAATTTATCACACTGCACAGTAATGCATGGATGCGGCTGCCTGCCTACAGAGAACCTGTGACGGAATCGAGAGCCTGGGGTGACGGTTCTGACTGGATAGAGGCGATATATCTGGTCTAGGCTTGAAGTTTTACCAGCATGAAAAGGCTACACTATATTTAGATCTGCAGTTCGTAATCTGTAGCTAATATTAGGCTCCAGAAAACACTGGGCGTGTTTTAAAACGTTTGCATGGTTGCTGTCGAGCGAAGTTGCGCTATTTTGCTACCTACGGGAATGCTTAGAATGTGGCACAGCGCTTCCGCTCCACAAGATAATTGTATACGAAACGGTGGCAATAAGCTAAATTCAATAGAGTGTTATGAGCAAACATAACCAACGGTTCTGAAAACATCATCGAGAACCTACAAGGCCTTCGGCTCTGTGGATCGCGGAGTAGCGTCTAGCAGAAGGCAAACTCCGTCGAACTTAGCGTGTGCGATTGCCTTAGCACGGCCCTACGGACCTGATTCCGGCATAGGGCAGACATTGCTCGACTTTATGGGTGTAAAAGCCCACCGTGCTAAGTTCATTACCCTATCTGGCCATACAATCGTGTCACGGCTTTCGTTGGGCCTGACGTATACGCGTATAAGGGGGTGCACGGGCGAAGTGTTTCTAGGGCGCTGTAACCATGAACGTAAAGACAGCATGCTCTGGTGTACAAAATTGCTGACAGCTAAGGACAAATTACTGCATTTCGGAAACCTATAAAGTTGTGCGTGCGCCAACTCGGTGCTCACGCTCGAACAGGTAAATTCGTGAAAAGGGATGTGATCCCTAGCTCCTGGATAGCTTAATAACGCCTCATTTACGTCATGCTTCCCTTTCCAAACTCAATACACTGACTAGCGGAAAATGCTGCATATTTACAATTTCTACTACTTCATTTATATTTAGCTGAGAATCAGTAAAGATTGGCTTATCGAATGCAGATAATCGCTACCTCGATGCACGAGGAAACAATGGAACATGCGCACGCGCCAGCTGCTGTGCGCAGATAACTCCGAATGGTCGGAGTGCTTAGTTTATGCAGCTACGCGCACGCTAGCTGTCCCTCTCTCCTTCTGTCGGGAACTTTAAGGGGCGTGGGAAAGAAAATGGTACGGCTCTCCAGGGAAATACTCAATGACGCTCTACTTAGTGTGCATTGAGTCTGAAGTGGAGTGTTTCCCTTTGAAGAGTTTAAATGGAGCGTTACCGTAGGAAGAACCTCATGGTTTGATGCAGCTGTTCCTTTCCTCCACTGGCTGTGGATGCGGTGGGACACAGGTTTACCTAAAACACTTGCCTGCCTTCAGTAAAGTTTTCTAGTGATCCAATAATTTGATTTTCTTTGACAATAGGCTGAAAAAACAAACACCCCTAGCGATGGAAGTTGACGGCGGCAGGATGCTTCTTGAGATAACGGAGGCAAGACTGCAAGCTAAAGTGGACGCACTAGTCTCACAGTTAGAAAAGCGGCATTCTTTGTTAGCCGATAAGATGGTTGCGGCCGCGACAACGAGGTTACGATGAGCAGAAACACATGGCGGCTTCAAAGACGGGCAAGCACTCGAGAAATTCGGCAGTTGGTTGGAGAGGTAGCTCGTTATGTACTCAGTAGATGAAGAATGACGTTCCCCTCGAGGCATGCATATTGAAGGGGAAAGCATTTGTGCGATGCCTTCAATCACGTAGAGGAAACTGTCTGCTTGCAGCAAGTACCGCAGTTCAAGCCTTTATATATGCCCTGACTCGTCGGTTTATTAAGAAACCAGCACAGCTGCAAGATTTTGGGAGAGCTGAGAAAGCTTTAGAAGAAAGATCTCTAAGAGATCGCCATATCGGGAAATATGAAAGTTTGTTCTGCAAAAGATATAGCGTAGGCTAGAAGTTGCGTCATCATTAACATAACTCCGGTATACTTAACGTGACACGCCAGGTGGTCGCAGGAAGAGCAGCCACTCAATTATTAAGCAGCCAACCAGCAAGGCCTTTATGCATAAAGGACTGCGTGTGATTCCAGGAGCAAATGAGCACAATTTCGGCATCGTTCGCTAAGAAGGAAGAATTATGTCAAGATTTAGAGCTCATGTGTGTTAGGGCTGTGTCAACCGCCCATATATTCAAGCTTAAGCTAGACGAATAACGGAAGCCAGAGAAAATGAGTATCCTTAAGCAGCTCTAACGTTCCCGTCCCATTGGCAACACACCTGTTTCCATTGTGGGAGACTACGTCATACAACCAGGAACTGAGAACGCAGGCGAGAAGCCAGAGAACGTGGAGAATAGGGCGGAGTCCAGCAGAAGCAGGCAGTTGCGAAGAAGGAGCATCTCGAAAATAGAGCGGTTTCCACCTAGGCTGCAACGCAGAAACGAGGGCTACAGAGGACAGAACCCCAGTTGAGAACCCACCAGTAGTCGCCACTGCACGGATACAAGTTTGCAATGATGGTCAATAATGGCTTGCACTTCTTGAAGCTGGATGCAAAGTGGGTCTGTTATTCGAGATGACGGTGCAGAAGTGCAATCTTGCAGATCACACCGTAGCTCAGTCCCTAGGACTCAGGTCTGCTGATGGGCCGCAGAACGCGAGAATAAAGGCTACGGCGGTCAGCAGCTATTGACAATTGGGATTTGATCTTATCCGCATTGGATGTGAAGTCTATGTTGGACTCGTGCACCACGGCGTAACTCTGTATGCCATGGGTTACCTAGTAGGAGGTCCGCACTCAGACGTATCTGAGCGCTGTGGAGGTTCGTGTGACGATAGGTCCGAATCATAAGTATATTTCGGCCACTTAGGAACCCTGGTTGCATGTATGTTGAACCGTATAGAATCGATACATCAACACGATCAGCCAGAAGCTTCATGCACGTGGCACAGCAGCGCTTGAAGGGGAGACAATTCTTAGCGTGCGTCCGGTCGCTGTGAATTTGCAACGGGATGATTATTAGGAAACATCATCAAAAGTCTGGCCAAGTGACATTGGGAATTCGCGGATGCGGTATATTACAACGAGCTGCCGGCAGGCTTGCCACCTGGTCGTCCAGCGCATCGTGTTACGCTGATACCCGGGGTAGCGCCCAGCTATGCTAAGCGGAATCGTTTGGCCCCCACAGCATGCAAAGGAGATTGAGCAGACACCAGATAATTTGTTGCACCAGGGCAAAGCACAGGATTTAACCAGCTATTTCAAGCACATACTTGTTCTGTTGCCCTAAAAGGACGAAAGGTGCCATATGCATCTCATCTTCACACTCCTGAGCAAGATCGCTCCTAAAACAGAAGCTTCTGAGGCACCATTTTAGTGACACACTTGCCGCTACACAGATCGACAAGTTCCTCTACACTTGACTGCATACACGCCTTCTTCGAATTTCCCCTTCACCCTCGTGACACGCAGGAGACGGTAATCCGCTTTTCCCCTAGCAGGTTTCCAGACGCCAGAATGCCGTTTGGAGCTGGTAGTGACTCAGCTGAACTGCAACGTCATGCTTATCAGGATTTCGCTGAGTCTTTCCAAAAATAGGCATGAAGACTTGCTACGCTTACGACGTCTTAAGATTAGTCAAAACGTTAAATAGCACCTACAGCACCTACGGTGTGCTCTCCAGGTGTTGCGGGACAAGAAGTAGTATGTGAGTGCATGCCTGAGTTTACTCTTTATTGATCAATCATACTTTTGCGACAGTGTATTTTGGCTGCAAGGCAGAATACAGATTCGGCAAACATTATGGCAAACAAGGAGCAGACTTTTCCTTTGCGCACCTGCAAAGACACTGAGAAGTTCTATGAGTTTGCATCGTATTACAAACATTCGTGCCGGCATTCGGCCAAATTCGTGCTCCTTTCACTAATCTACTTCAGAGAAGGCAAATTTGACCTAGTCAGAGAAGGCTGATGCCACAGCAATGAAGCTCGTAGGTAGCCTTGCAAATCCTCCGGAACTTACGCTGCCTGACTGGGAGCGTCTTTTCCTCCTAGCAGCTGATGCTAGAGGCGTAGCGGTATGTATCAAAGCGCTCTGTGAGACACCGAATAGTTGCCTGTTGCTGCCTTCGCTTCATCGAAATCGAGTAGCCGTATCTAGTGAGGGAAAAGAAGCTCCCTGCTTTATGGTAGGGCGTGAAAAAGTAATTTTACTATCTGTTGTAGTCATTTTTTTGTTCATAGAGACCACCATTCTTAAGTCCCCCACACGAACAGTCTTGCTGACTTTCAAAGTCTTAGAGTTGTCGCTGGCTTGCCTGCGGTACGATTTAACACTGGTATATTGGGGAAATCATCAACGTGGTAGCCGACGAGTATTTGAGACCCTCTGGGGGTTTTCGAATTTGTGCGGTGAAAAGCTTATGACCCATAATAATCCCTCGCTTCTATAGCTGTTGCGTATTCCATTTGCGCTTGACTTCAGAGCAGCCGCTACAACTACCAACTTCCAGAATGGCAAATAAATCAAGCACCACAGTGATGAAGCTGGCGCGCTCTGGTTCAGAGCAATGCAGCGACCTATTCGCTTATACATCCCTACCTTACGGTGCTGTGCCGTTTTAAGCAGAGCGCATGGCCGTTTCTTTCCGGGACATGGTAAAATTCAAGCTACTTAGGAACAGCTCGGACGGCCTTTTTCTGGTCTGGAGTCCGTCACGCGGCAGGGAGAAGTATGCAGTGTAATGTGCACATTTTCAGCAGCCAAAGTCACGCGTTTCTCTAAAATCTGCCGTTTGCAAAGCTTTCCCGTTCCAGAAGGGCTTTAACCTTATCTAAATATACTTGCTTGCGGAACTGCTGGAGGTCAAGAATGTGGATAGCACCTACGTTGTTGTCGACCACAGCAAAGGTGCTCATTTCATCCCGTGCTCCAGCTGCGTCAGCGCTCAGAAATGTGCCCGATCATTGTTGACTTATGTCTGGTAGGCTTCACAAATATTACAGTAGCATCATAACGGATAGGAAATCAAGGCTAATTAGTGCGTTCTGGCGTGCCTTCATTGATTATTGCACACAGTTACCATGATATGACCAGTGAGAACCATTCCTGTGGTGGAGGCAGATGGAGTGTACAAACCCTACATTTTTCCTGTATTTGGGAGTCTGTGCTCGCACAAATCCAATGATTGGGCATAACACTGTTTTGGGGACTGCGGGGCTCAAAATACAACAATACATTCGTCGATCCCTTACTCTGCTGCTTCCATGGTCGAGACTGGAAAACTCCTCTCCAATCCACGCTTGGAGGTAGTAATGGGGAGTCAGCAGCTACTGCTACCGGCAGAGGGACCCAGAGAGTACCTTTCTGTCATGCGTGAAGGTACGTACACGGCTGAAGAGAGGCAAGTACAATATTGTGACTGGCGGCGGTCGGCTGTGTGTTTCGGGCCCGGCGACGTGGTCCTGGTGGCTCGTCATTCTTCGATTGCGCCAGCTGATTACACAAAGTACTCTTGACGAGGTGTCAAGGACCACTTACTATCCTCACACAAATCAACGATCTTTCTTGTTGCACTGATCATCTTATTTGGTTGTTTTAAAAGACTATCGATATAGGCTTCCTGGAGAACTTTGACAACCTCTCGAATTGTCTACGGACTTGACCGCTTAGCGAAGAGACCTGCATGCAGGCAGGGTTTCCACACAAAACGGTGAAATAGCTGGGCGGTAGGACTACTGAGCACTGAGGACACAGTAGATGAAAGGTTAAAGAGAAATGAGATAACGAACGGCAGCTTACATGTTTGAGAGAAGAGCACTCCGTTGCGTGAGAAGCATTTGCGGCTCTTGTGTGCAATGCTCATGGCCGTAGACCGTAGTCCTAACGTTCCTAGCTAGCACTTATGTCCTTGCTCGGCGCATGCTCTTCCCGAAACCCTTACCTGCGTGTGTGGGTCTTGCTTTTGAATATTGCCAGCTACTATTTTAAAGGCATTCCCCATATCCAGATTTATGCGCAACATTCGCGTTTATGTGGTCCTTCCAATCTTGGTTTTACCTATTGCGGGGCTTTGCAAGCGATTATGCTACATGCACCAGGTGTATTTGCATGAAGTTGCTGCTCTGAGACGCGGAGGGACTGTTGAGCTAGTGCGTACTTTGATCTTCCTTCATAGTTTTGTTGTCTTCTTTTATCCTGATTATGATATTAACATGTTTCAGCGCTTCCACGACAGCGAGACATTACGTCATCCCAAAAGTGTTGGTTGCTGGGCCCTCATTTCTTTCTTCGCTTTCTTTGAACTTAAGCGCTTGACTCGCACATTTTCTGTTCCCATTCAAACTGTTTTAATGTCTTTGCTCATATGGGGTATGGCGACATGGCTGAGAAGCTTCCGTTGTCCTGCATGCAGTTGTCCTCGACATTTAGGCACAGAACATTACGATGCGCCTCTAAAACTGCATGGGGGAGGTGTAATGACTAAGTTATTCATCAATGCTTTCTGTACACTTGTTATATTTTACTAAGGATGAGTATAGGGTTGCTTTTTTGGCTTGGCTGTTTGTATATGTAGTTAGCACATCGAATCGTTAGCTCTATATACTGCAATGTGTGCGTATGCGCGAAGTGCTACGCGCAACTAGCTGTAAATGCTCATAGTGCTTATCGCGTGCAGCTAAGCGCTCTCAACCTGTCCCTCTCCTCAGGCGTCGGAACCTTGTAGCGGCGCGGGAAGGATACGGATTTGGATCTCTTGAGAATAGCTCCACTAGTTTCTATTAAACTTTGTATTGAGTCTAACTTCAGTGTCTCCGTACGGAGGCCTTCGATGAAGCTTACACGAGCCCGCTTCCTGATGCATGATGCTGCTCCCTCTATGGCTCTTGGAGTTCAGCCTTCGTATGATAGCCCGAGAAGAAGCCTCATACGCAAGTCAACAGCACTTCTGACGCTCGCTGTCGTGAGCTGATAGGCAAAACCGCAACCAGAACAATGTATTTCAGTCTTGGTTTGTTTGCATAGGTTGCTGGAAAAAGGAAACATTCACTCCCTTTCATGGATTACACTTATCTTGGCTGAGAAGAAGAAGGAGCAACAGTGACTTATTCGAGGCCTTGCGCAGAATTGTAGGAAAGATAATGCACAAAGGTAAGTCCGCATGCCGCCACACTCCCGGTTCGTATTCGAGGGTTAGATTTTCCCTGCACCGGATACAACGCGCGGACATGCTGATCATAAAACCAGTTAAAACGAATCCATATTAAATTTAAATACTTTTTAGCACACCAATCTAAGGGTAACGCAGCAATCATTTCGCACGCTACACTGGCTAGTACTACCCTCCTGGTGCGCAGAGGCACTGGATTCCTTTGGGGGCGACAGGGGAACAACACGTTTATTGAAGGACGCAACTGATCACCATTGCGCATGAGTGTAAAAGCAGGAATGCAGAACCCAATACATGCTCTAACGAGGTGGTCTTCGCTACTGTAGGGGCCCGCCAGCGATCCTCAGGTGATCCTGGCTCCTAGCAATGCTGGATGCATGCCATAGTACTATATTCTGTGCTGAAAGAGGCTGAGCTGAAACATGTCCAGATGCGTTATCGGTACCTACATTCTGTCTTGTATCTCTGCTCCGCTCCAGCGACCAAGGAGAATGGGGTCTCCTGATGCACAGGGGCTTTGTTTATCCACTAGCATAGCTAAATTGCAATGCTCAGCGATTGCCAATGAGTCACGATTCATGAGAAGATGGCGTGAATTAGTCTATCGTGAAACTTCGTCACTGGGGGTGTATGTACACCGCAAGCACCCTGTGTGGGACGCCGCCGCCCTAGACTGGTGCACGCACACAGCCTGCATTGCACACCCGGTTAGAAGCAAGCCAGTCATTTGCGGAATCTACCTCTAATTTAGCCTCACGAATTTCTGCCTCTTTGCAGTAGAGCGGCTGCAAAAATCTCTGCATGTTAAGCGCCCTTGCTTGATCCGGGTGCCAGCCGTTGTTCCGTCGCGTCACCACGGATCGGTGCTGTTCATTCGGCGGGGTCTGGTAACGATTTCAAATACACGTTGCCCAGCTTATTTCTGTTGTTGCCCTTGAAGTCAGTATTTAGTTGCGAAGATGGCGTCTGGCGGCGATGATGTGTTCACGAGCGATGCCAACCAGCACTGGGAAATGAAGCGCAAGGCCTCTTTCTCAAAGTTGACTGGAATGGTGCCGCGGACAATTCCGGGCATGTACAACGTTGTAGAGGACCCTCATGCAGACAACAAGAAAGAGAAGCTATGGAAACTCATGGAAACATACCTGCCTTCCGACGTGCACTCAATCCAGAGAAGCATCGTAAACCACGTTGTAAGTTTCACATCCACTGCAGACACACCCAGTGGGCTTTCCCCCTCCTGGAACTTTCAGTACACCTACTCTGAGATGATTTAGGCTCAGAAGCGGGCTGGCTGACTCGTAAAGACGTTCGCGAAGTTCTTCTGCCACAATTGCCTTCGTAGGAGTATACCCTGGCGAAGACACGCTTTAACCTCGACCCTGAGTCCTGTTACCGCGCGGCCGCATTTTCGGTCCGAGACCGTCTGATTGAAACCCTTAACGACACAAACGCCTTCTTTCACGAGAAGGATGTGAAGAGGGCTTATTACCTATCCCTGGAGTTCTTGCTGGGCCGTGGTAGGTCCACAGAATGCGAAGGCTTCAGGCATTCGAACATGTTACACCCTGCATGGCCATGCGTTGTTCTTAACTGGGGAGGCGCGAAAGAGTGACGTAGGAGTCCAGCTGAACGGATATGCCTTGCATACACAGAGCAGCAACGTGTGTGCACACCTATTGAGTGACTTCGCGCAGCCTTCCAAAATGCGCTTGTAAATCTGGATATTGAGAAGAACTACCGCACGGCGCTAACCGATCTGGGATTCAATCTAGAGCAGCTCTACGAGTTCGAGCACGACCCTGCCCTGGGGAATGGAGGGCTTGGTCAGTCGCTGTCGCGTCCCGTTGTTATCTTTACCGATCACGATCCACTCAAGGATACACGTGTTCAGGTGTCTTCTACATTGCATTCTCGCTCAGCTGTCGCTCTTTGCACACAGTGCAAGCAAACAGCAGTCACCCGAAGTGGTGTGTGTGTGTGCGTGCGTGTGTGTGTACTGAAATGTGCGTACAGGCCGTCTTGCTGCCTGCTTTCTTGACTCTATGGCAACGCTCAACCTGCCTTGCTGGGGCTATGGTATTCGCTATACGTATGGCATTTTTGAGCAGAAGGTAGTAAACGGACGCCAGGTGGAATACCCAGATTACTGGCTGACGCTCTCGAACCCTTGGGAAATTGAGCGTCCCGACTGTACGTACGCAGTACGCATCTATGGAAGCGTTAAAGAATACCGCGATCCTCAGACTGGAAGGGTGAGGAGCAAGTGGGTTGGGGGAGAGATCGTGCAAGCCATGGCTTACGACACACCCATTCCTGGTTTTGACACGTATAACACCATCAACCTCCGCCTGTGGAAAGCTTGTCCGAGTAAGGAGTTTGATTTCCACCTTTTCGACGTGGGACGCTATCTCGAGTCGGTGCGTGAAAGACAGAATGCCGAGTCCATATCCGCTGTCCTCTACCCAAATGATAACACGGTGGAGGGCAAGGAGCTGCGTCTGAAGCAGCAATACTTCTTCTGCTGTGCTACTATCCAAGACGTTCTGAGACGATTCAAGAAGGTGCCTGGCCGAGACTGGAAGGAACTGCCCAATAAGATCCAGTGCCAACTGAACGATACACACCCCACAATCGCGATTCCTGAGCTCATGCGCATTCTCCTGGATGTTGAAGGCCTGGACTGGGACATGGCCTGGGATTTGGCCAGACGCTGCTTCAATTACACCAACCACACAGTGCTACCAGAGGCGCTGGAAAAGTGGTCCGCCGACCTTATTGCGAAGCTCCTCCCAAGGCAAGCAGCACTGAAGGGGATTTGTTCCCTTCTCAATAGATGCTCGGTCTCCTCGCCAGCTGACGCGGTCTGCTGTATTGGCCTAGTTAACCTTTGTGGGTGGCACTTGCGATCCATCGCACTTTTCCTTTGCTATATCGCATTCTGCGGGGACTTGTGATTTGCTGTTGCGGACCTGCAGGCATTTGTTAATTATTAATGAAATCAACTTCCGCTTTTTGAATGAGGCACGCCAGGTCTTTGGCGACGACTGGAGCAAAATTGGGCGTATGTCCATTTATGAAGAAGGTTGCGAGAAACGGATTCGCATGGCCAATCTTGCCGTCATTGGGGGAGCGCACGTCAACGGTGTCGCAGCAATTCACAGCGAACTAGTAAAAAAGAATCTCTTCCCTGAGTTTGTGGAGTTATACGCCCGCCAGGGCGTACACGACAAATTCTTGAATGTAACGAATGGTGTAACTCCTCGCCGCTGGATTTACTGCTCAAATCGTGGTCTGGCGGATTTGTTTAGCAATTGGCTAGGCTCTGACTCCTGGCTGAAAGAGCTGGACATGATTGCGGGCCTCATGAATCACATCGACAACCCCACCTTCCGAGCTGAATGGGCGGCGGTTAAGAAGGAAAACAAAAGACGTCTTGCCCTTTGGGTGGAGCAGCGCTGCAACGTGAAACTCGACGTGGATACCATGTTATTCGACATTCAGGTCAAGCGCATTCATGAATACAAGAGGCAACTGCTGAACATCATTTACATCATCCACCGCTACCTGTCGCTCAAACGCATGTCGCCGGCAGATAGGGCGAATATGGTTCCCCGCGCGTCGCTCATTGGCGGGAAAGCAGCACCAGGATACTACACGGCCAAGTCGATTATCAAGATGGCAAACAACGTTGCACAGATCGTGAACAACGACCCAGATGTTGACAAGTATCTCAAGGTAGCTCTTGTGTAGCTGTTTTTCTCTGTATATCGCGCGCGTCGTGGTTTGCTAGACTCTCATGAGTGGATTGCGCAACCGTTTTGTCGGCATGCTGGCACGGCGAGCCAGAGCCATGAGGTACCGAATTAGGGGCGAGCATTCCGTAAATATACTCACATCCTCCTTCTGTGCCTTCAGGTGGTGTTTCTGCCGAACTATAACGTCTCGAACGCTCAAGTTATTATTCCCGCTAGCGATATCTCTCAGCACATTTCGACTGCCGGCACTGAGGCCTCTGGAACCTCCAACATGAAATTCGTCATGAACGGCGGGTTGATTATTGGTACTCTGGATGGTGCAAACATTGAGATTAGAGAGGAGGGTGGTGACGAGACCATGTTCATATTTGGTGCAAAAGAACACGAGATCGAACATATCCGCGAGCGGGTGAGGCATACACGAAAGCGAAATCGTTTCGGAGAGCCAATGAGAGCTCTATCCTCAGGATTCGCTTCTTGAATGAGTAATATTTTCAAGGCCAAATAGCGCGCGGGCCTTCTGACGCGCAAGGCTCATGAGTCGCGCAGGAAGTTCCTTGGGAGTGATCTAGCTGGCAGCGGGTGTGAAATATTGCTCTTCACGGAAGATGTGGCTGTGTGCTAATGCTTTCTATCTCATACTTTGCTGCTTTACCTCATCTTTTAGCAGCCACTGCTTGTCATTCCGGACTGCATGTGGTGTCGATGTTCTGGCGGTTATGGTGCAGGCCCGTAATGGCTCGTATCCGATGGACCACCGCATGCGCGAGGTGTTTGACTGGATTCGCGCGGGCAATTTGGCATGCGGTGACCACCAGTCGCACGCCGATTTTTGCAGCATTCTGGACACGCTCTGCAACAATGGAAACGGAAACAACGGCGACTTCTACTTGCTGCAGCACGACTTCCCGGATTACTGCAGAGCGCAGGATGAGGTTGACAGGACCTACAAGAATCCTGATGCCTGGTGGAAAGTGTCCATCAAGGTCGGTTGGTTCCCGCATTTTTCGCGATCAGCACAAATGCCATGAATGTGGCTGTTGATGTGTGTTGGACGTTCATCACCTGCTACGTGGTGCACTCAATTTAGCACCCGCAGCAGCGATAGATAATTGGCACTGCTATAAAGACTATAGACTGAGCGACCTCCGCACTCTTGGGTGCTGTTGCGTAAAGCTCGGTGTTTGGCACAAGCTCTGAAGCAGAAAAGGGGATGCGAAAACGGGGATGGCTGAGCAGTTGCACTAGCTCGTATTGCGGATTTGGGGCGTGTTGCTTTTTCAGGCGGCTGCCTCCATGGGCAAGTTTTCGACGGACCGCTGCATGCGGGAATACGCCGAGAAGATTTGGGGAATTAGTCGCTGCGAGAGGCCGGCCCCCGACGAGGTGCTGCGCATTCGTTCATTTGCAAACGACAAAAGAGGTAGCCAAGCATATCATGAGCCACGGAAGCCCTCTGCTGCTGCTCCTGCTGCTAATGCAAATGATCATGAAACCCACAAAAAAGGGGGCAAGAATAAAAAAGAAAAGGGAGATAAAAGGGAGGTTGTTATCGACTCGTGAACACAGCTGCCCGGTTGCAAGTCTTCCTGCCCGTCTCTTATCGTGCCACTAGGTTAGCAGGTACTCGTTTGTGTAGATATCTGTTTAGTTGTAGCCACCCACCTTCGCGCGCTGTCCGTAATGTTCTTCTGCTATTTCACGATTGCTATTATTCGAGAGCTGCAGCATCAGTGCTATGTGCTGCAAACCCGCCTCCCGTGCACATTCCCCCGTTATTTGAGACGATGGTACCTCATCGTAGATGTGTGACAGTAGCAACAGCAGCAGCGGCGGCCGAAGCAGCAGCAGCAAATGCATTAGGCAGTCCCCAAAAATGTTCATTCCTCGCCAAGTGGCGAGGTGGCAGCGCAGCCCCCTAGCGCTTTGCCCGACTCGCAGTGTCCACTACTCGTGTATCTGTATCCATCGCTCATCATACGGGAGAATAATATTTTGAAGAGAATCAGTAGTGAACTAAGCATAGTTATCAGGCAGAGCTTCAGTACATCAGCAGCGCGAGCTCAGATATTTTATAAGCATTCCCAGTGTACTGTGATTCTATAAGTATACTTACAGAGACGTTCATGAAAGACAGGAGAACGGCACACACCAGGTTCTTCTCATCCTATTCTGGGGTGAACGCATACCAACACATCTGAACAACACTGCTTTTTTTCCAGCATGTCCTAAGGATTGTCCCTCGGCTAGAGAGAGGAGTTTCTCGGCACGGGCGGCAGACGGCCCCTTGTGTAGTGACCCTAAAGGAAAGGTTCTCCACAATCTGAGCCAAAAGGAGGATGTGCACGACGGATAGAGCATTCCATAAGTGTAAGTTAAAAATGCTCTGGGTGATAGTTATGGGGGGATGCATGAGTTTTTTTTGGAAAAGGCCGATTCGGCTATCTGTGTGAAGAATAGGGAATGCATTGCCACCTGCGGCGCGGTCCAATAAATGCCCCGCCTCCCTAGGAGTTATTATCGCGCAGGGACGATCTGAAGTGAGTGCAAGGGCAGTTGAGGCTTCATGGAGCTCCGTGGGAGAACAGAGGTAGTGTCAAGGCAACGTCAAAAGAAAGGAGAAATTTTAGAGCACGCAAAGTGCTCATCGCAGCCTTGCGCACGGATGGCTATCGGCCAAATGGATCAAGCTAAGGATGGACGGGAGTGCTTGTCATTCTATCCCTTTCTGACATGACACAACACTCCTTAAGTGGTGCACCTACGAGCCCATCCTCCTCTACGCAGGACTTGTGAGAGGTACTGCAAGGGATTCTTTGGCTCGGTCAGCATAACGACAGACCACTTGTCTTCCGCTAAGGCCCACCCCCTCCCCCTCCAAAGCATCCGGACAAGCCAACAGGTGCAGCGTTTACACAAAAGAGAAAGGGCAGAGTTTGATGAAAGCGAACACTCGAGTGTTCCCCACATGATGCTGTTCTACTGGCGGCACACGTGGGAACTTTCCTCCGTTCGAGGTTCCTGAGGAATGGGGCCTAATTTTGAAATGCTTGGGAGCTTGGCGGAAAACACTTGCACTAGCGTGCAACAGCCAAAACATAATGAGCACTAAAGAACATTCCTCGTAACCAACAGAAAAGCGAGGCAAGACAAAATCTGGGCTTCGCCTTACGTACTTGAACTACGACATGCCGTTGATCTACAGCTAATTCCCCTATACTTACTGTAATGTGTAGTTCAGCATTCTAGGCATCTAGAAGTAAAACATAATTGTGCATGTACAAGACGCGACAGGTGTGCTGCCTCAGCTGTGCATCTCATCTCATGAGGGACTCATTTATGGGCTTCACCCCCAGAAGCGCTTGTTTCTCAATAATTACTCGCTTTAGGGATGCGCAAAGAGAGCTAGAGGAAGAGGACAAGGGAAGCGGTACGATATCAATCGCTTCTCCGATTACGCTTCGCTCTCTACTCACCTCTTCTTAATCCCTCCTCTCGGTGCAGATATTTGTTCGACCTTGCAATTTATTCGTCTCATGGATTTCAATACATTTGCCATAGAAACAAATGCACATCAATACTGCAAGAGGTTGAAATCATCAACTGACCACTGTGTAGCCTGTAATACTGTGCGCTCTCTACAATATAAGCAGCTGATACATTGCTGCATTCGGTAGGATGGAAGATGCAAGCAAATAAGCACATCCAAGGTTGAGCTTTACATATAGGTCATATAATCCCCAAATGGTACCGAATTCCGAAGCTAGGCAGCGGAAAACGTCTCCTGTTGCAAAACCCACACAGTCCGCCTTCGTTTGCTGTCTAGAGCAAGGCAGGAACAAAAATAGTTTGCCAGTTGACCTGTTGCTGCACCTCAATTCGCCTTGGTGCCGTATTTCACTTCTTCACTTGGTGCGGCCGTCATGATCGTCCTGAGCATCCACATATACATCGAGAAGCTGCCGAAGAGCCAGCAAATTTTACCTCCATATCACAGGAAGAACTATCATTGCGTGCTCTTCAAACAAAGCATCAGATATTGCAACTAGACTTCAAGTAATTTTCGCTGGCCTCTAAACTTGCTGGACCACAGAGCACGCAATGTCGTGCCATTTATAAGGATTTCTCACAATGGACCTATTGAAACCACATTCGTTTAAAAGTCGGGAATCTGCCCATTGCTTACGACATCTGAGTTGTGTTCTGAAGGAGCATAGTGATCCCAGTTGGGATTGCATAGTTTCCCTCGGCTATCTTGGCAGCTGTGCGGCGGCTGATGCGTGATCAGATTCGTTTTCAGAGTATCGGCAATTGCATCAATAAACTCCTCCGTTGTCAGATAGTCACTCGCCTGAATACGTAGCGAATACCGTAAAGCAGCAGAAGCTGATAAGCAAGAAGTAAAAGAGAAACACCGTAAAACCCCCACACTGCAGGCCCTTCGCGCAGTGCCATATGTTCCCCCTGCAAAGCGGGGATAGAGCAAATTATGGCCAAGACCATCACGTTGTCAACCGTACTTTTACGTTATCAGCGCCCTTCACACAGATCGCCAGATCTTTAGGCATCGCCCCGGACTCAACGGTCTGAATGCACGCTCTTTCCAAGGCCAAGCAGAATTGCTCAAGCCGTGGATTGTTGTCCAATTTAGCCCTACCACAAATCCGCAACAAAGAAAGTGTCGGGATGTGTCGGCAACACGGGGCAAGGCTAACAATATAGACAAATGCCCTCAACTCAAGACGATGCACCTCCTCAGAACCAACAAAGATTGGACAAGGACAAGGGGGGAGATAAGACGAGTAAAGTGGGATAAACGGAGGGAAGGCTGAGCTCCTACCGGTGTGCCAATCCCCTGGTCCACGCAAAAATTGATGCGATCGGGTTGGTGGATGTTTTCTCTCCTCTTTGATGCTGCCTGAAATGCCGTGTCACTGTTCCATGAGCCGCTTCGCTCACTTCCGTCTTGCCATCCGGGCAGACCAGTACAGATGTCATCAGCCCCAGGGAACCATACCCCTGAAAGAGCACACGAATACAGGTATGATATATGGTCATTTGTGTGGCCAGTCCGTGGCAGCGTATTTTGACGGAAATCAACATGGTTTCCTGCCTGCGTACTGGGAGCCACGTCATGACAGTATCTGCACAAAGCAAGCCACTACGGCGAGAGGCAATGGTAGAGCGAAGGTGCACAGAGGCCCACTTGATAAACAGAAGTAACCAACGATCAAATAAAAGAAAAAGGCTTAAATTATTCCCTCCGCCGCTTGCTGCATGAAAAGGCCTCTCACTTGGGCGACAATATCTGACTGTACATCTCCATCATAGTTCTTGCACGCCCACACGAAGCCGCCTTCTGACTTAAGGGCTTGTGCCACCATGTCATCAATTAATCGGTGTTCATAGAATATTCCGGTTGCTTCGAATCGCTGCTTGAAATGGGAGTTGTAGATTTCCTCGAAGATGTCTTTAAACACGCCGTCATACTCCTTCAGGATGGTGTTCTTAGTGCTCAGGTACAGTGGCATTTTCTGCAAACACATCCCGATCCTAGGAGCACGAAAAGCATCAAGAGACGATATCACCGAACAGTATGCGTCTTCTACTCCCTCTGCATGTGCGAAAATGCTGAGACGCGAGCAGCAAGCGCAAGGGCATTTTCTGGGCAAAGACATGGCTGCCCACAGCTGTGGCAAGAAGGAAAACATAGCGAGATGGGATCTTGAAGTAAGTTGACGGACACGTCCACCAATTCAGCTAAAAGTATGAGCACTACGAAGCCACTAAAGTGAGAAACAAAGAGTCACAAGTCACTAATCCAAAGTCACGGGCGAAAAAAAAGCAACTGCACAACGAAGGTTAAAACTAGAAAAAAGGGGCAACGGCATTCCAGCGTTTCCTTCCGCCAGTTTTACTTTTCGTGCTGCAAAGACACAAACGGTTTCCCCACCTGGGCGAGGGCGAAGTTGAATGAGCTCATGGCGAAACCCTTAATGCTCTCCACAGTGTTGTACATTCCAAGCATTACCCCTGGTCCTGAAAAGCTGAAGACTGTTTCTCTCAATTCTTGCCGCCCATCTTTGGGCTTGAAAACGATCTCGAAATCTCCAGGCCCATCACATATCAAGGATTTGCTCTTGTACTGATCGCCATACGCGTGGCGCCCAATAACAATCGGCTTCCGCCACCCCGGCACAAGGCGAGGGACGTTGTTGATCAAGATGGGAGCACGGAAGACGGTTCCGTCCAGAATGTTCCTGAGATCATGTGCACTTCCAGATGAAACAGGCTCGGGCTTGGCTTTGGGTCGATGATGTTTTACAATGAAAAACAGGAAAATCAAAGTCATGTAAAAGAGTAGCAGGGAGGGAGGGATAGCAGCATAGGATGGCATGATACGAAGCCCTTATATCTGCGCCACTTGCATCCTTCATGATGATATGCGAAACGAAGTAAGCGAGAGAAAACAGGGGGAACAAAGAATACATCTAAACAACGATCGCACAAAGCAGCCAAGGTTACCGTATTGTTCCATTAGGGCTCTTCCACATCTGCTTGAGCTTGAATTCCTTAACCCTTGCGGCATCTGGTGTTATTGTGGCACACTTCACGCCAACGCTGAACCGCTTAATTGCCTCCGCTGCATCCAGTGTGACTTGATCTTCGGTGGCGTCTCTGTGGGGAAGGGAAAGGTCAAAGTACTTCAGATGGACGTCCAGGTACGGCAGGATTAATTTCTCCTTGATCCAAGCCCACAGAATGCGCGTCATTTCATCGCCATCCAGCTCCACCACAGGGTTCTGAACGGGAATCTTTCCCTGAATATCGAATGCTGATGCAGCTGCTGCGGTGTGCAACATCCCATTGCCGGTAAACGCGCCCCTTGCTACGTGCCCCTCTTTCTCCCGGCCCACCTGCACGGGACAGTGGGTGACGGAGGAGGTCGATCCAGAAGAAAGGTGCCTGACTTTATTTCCCCGATGAGCGAGGGGAACAAAAGACAGTGATGATGGAATTGCTCCCGAGGGCCCCCTGTGGGCGCATCGCGCGGCCACCTGAAGCAAACTGGAAGTACTCATCCTTAGAAGAATAAGAATTCAAGAGGTCAGTAATTTCAAAATAAGTAAGCAAAAACGATAACAAAAAGAACTGGACTCGAAGGCACAATTCCGCGTTTACATCTACCAGGTGCCAATGCAGTCGTTTGTACGCCTAAGCCCCGCGAGTTCTACTCGCCCGCCTAAAAGGGCCCCCCATATTGAAACAAGCGTGAAAGTGTTTTTCGGGACTAAACCTTCATTTATCAGTGTTTTGGGCTTTTCCTTGTGTAATTTAGTAATTACTTGCTAATCCGTGGAAGTGAAAGGCATGATACGGATTCGATCTCCTCGCTCATTCATTCCGCAATGCGCAAAAAATGGGCTTTCCTGCTTCTGCAATTTGTGGTTTTAGCTGCAAGCTGCAAGGACGATGAAGCTTTCTGGGTCACAAATGCGCCCAAAGGGCCGCATGGAGCACACCTTCAAAACCAAGTGGACCGGTCAAATATGCAGGGCCCACATCCTGCTGTCACTACAAGGCTTCACGAGTTTGCGGGAAAATCGGGAGTTAGCACCACAGGGACATTTTCCACAGCCTTAAAAGCTACAAGGCGTACTGGCAGAGGGCAGGAGCAGCCGCAAGAAGCCAAGAGTGCCAATCGACTGAGCGGAGAAGGCAGCAGCAAAGACACAGAAAAGGGGGCGAAGGCGCTCGCGGTTGTGATTTCTTGGTGGGATGTACTACTACTGCTGCTTTTGGGTCTGCTGGCGCTGTGTAGTTCTGCCGCACTTCTTGCTGCTAGTTTTGTGGGAGACGCCGGAAGGCGCTACTGCGAGTACTGGGGGCCCCTACGGCGTTTCATCAAAATCCGCAACAAAAAAGCCGCAAGCCTACAGATCCTGGCTTCCCAGTATGAGCAAATTAGTGAGGAGCGATCGAGAATTGCTGTGAGTGCTTTGTTTCGGCTTCGAAGGTGCTGCCCGCTGTTCTTGCGTGGACATGCCAGAGATGGACTCTGCAAACGAGCTTCATAATCTTCTCCTCCCCCCAGACAACGCCAATCAGTCTTTAGCTTCCCAAACTTAAGATCGATGCATTTTTCTGCTCGGTACAGAGGCTGCGTTCCCATGATTTCTCGCGTACGAACACGCAGTTACCCTGTGTACTGCTCTGTGCTGCACGCAGACGCTGTGGTTTGTGGCGAGGCAAATGAAAGATAGCGGCAAGATGGTGAAACTTTCACGTTCATCGCTTATTTTCCCATCTGATAAAAGGGGACATGCCAATTTTTAGTGGAATGCCTTTCAAATTCGTGTCACACACCGATGGACTGTTTCTGCCGCCAGCCTCCTGGTCTCGCTCTATTTCCATGCACCTGTTTGTCAGCGTCCTGCTCTCCCCCGGAGTGTCCATTGTTTCCGTGGCTCTATGTGCTTCTGCTTCGCTCTTGAAGCAGGCCATCCTCCGTAAACAGGCCGAAGAGATGGAAGCCTCGCTGGATAGCATCCGTCGTCGCTACCAAGAGGAGCGCTCAGAGTGTGAGTGTCCGCCTTCGGTGCAGCGCCTCTTCCTTCTAAAGCTTTGACCATCGTATTTATCTTGCATGTATTTCTTTCAAGGAAGCACTGGCGGTGGTGGCCGATCGACGTAGGTTTGTGGAGGCATTCCGTTTACCTGTGCGTGAATTCCTATAGGTATCCTTGCGTGCATGTGCATGCGTCGGCGCAGCTGGATTTCTGTTTCTTCTTTACCGGTATATATACAGTAGTACGTGGGCTTCCGACCCTCCTCGCTCATCAGCATCCTCTGACAGTTCGGGCGTGAGCGGCAGAACAGTTGAGTCGCTCGTGCACCAGAGGATACAGGCGGAGGACAAGCAGCAGGACTCTAGTCGTGCGTCCTCCGTTTCCCGTTCTGACTCTACCCCTCGCACTTCTTCTTCGAGGCGTCTGAACCGAGCGAGCAACAACACGCGTGCGCCAAAAGGTAGAGGATTGCAAGGGCCGTCTAGGGCTTCCGGGGTTTCAGGTGTAAGTCGCTGGAGCGCCTCTTGTAAGGGTAGCCAGACAGAAGGCGTGACGGCGACAGGCAGAAAGAGGAAGCATCCTAAGCGGCAGGAAGGACAGAGCGAATACGACACAGACGACGCGCTGCCGCCTGAAATTCCAGGGAGCATCAAAAGAGATGCGTTGCTCGCGCACAAGTTTGACCAGCTGGCTCAGCGGAAGCTGGGGATCCTAAGGAGAATCGTCCGAGAGGCCGCCCAGCACGAGCCGCACTCTACTGCTCACCCATAGCCCTCGGGGCAAACCGCAATTGCGGAATTTCGGGAAAACAGGTGCGTTGTACACGCCATCTGGTCTCCCGAGGAGAAGCGACTGCAGCAGGGTAAACTGCTACAGAGAGGTCTCTTCGACACAGCACCCCTCAAATCATACGCTTACAAAGGTCGGAATTCCCTTCTCTATGTTAGGGTTGTTTGCCCTTTGCACAACGCACTGAGCATCATCCCACGGCAACACTTCGCCACAACATTTTAAAGATATTTTTTGATGCATAGCAAAAGGCAGCTATCAAAAATGTATGCATGCTCACTTCGCACGAGCAGAAGTTCGCAAGTATTCTTTTGACTTTCCTTGGTGCATTTACCGTTGCTGATAATGGAGTTCAACTTTTTAATTTTAAACCCGCAGACTTACAGGCACAAAACGCCACGCGTGAAGCATGCAGTCTTCCATGCCTTTATACATTTTTATGAGGGCATGTAGATCACGAGTAGGCTGAGCTAAAGACCCAGATGCGCGTGTATTTGGCCCTCCCATGGAGCGGTTGTGCAGGCAACTTCCATATGCGTAATTCGGTATACAGCAGAGGGTGGTGTCGTGTGTAGCGGGCTAGTACTATACAGTAAAACTTTTCCCTACACTTATATTTAGCCATGAATTAGTAGAGATAGTGCATTGTTTTGCGCATTCGTTTATTTTATTAATTGCATAGAACTAGACATGCTGTGTGGGTATACGCTAGCTGCTGTATACAGCTAATTTGGAAAGCTCGGAATACGTAATTTGTACACCTACGCGCATGCTTGCCGTCTTTCTCCCCTGATGGGGGGATCTTCGGCTGGCGAGGGAAATGAAGGAATGTCTCTTTCGAAAACATTCAATAAGCTTCTATGAATTGTGTATAGGGTTCGGGATGAAATATCTCCCTGCGGAAGACATAAATGAAGGGCAACACTTGGTAGCAGCTCATGGTTCGATGCAGCTGTTCTTCGCTCGTCCGCCGGGTGTGAATGCTGCAGCGTGCTGTCCAATTTTTCTGGAACAGCTCTCTGATCTCGGTCAGGTTACTGTGTGGTTCAAAAATTCTGGTGATCCATGGCAACAGTTGGGGAAAATTCACCCCCGGCGATGACAGCTGACAGTGCAACAGCGGGGGCCGCGGCCGGCCTGTGAGTTAGTGTCGGCTCCGCAAATCTTGACAAGCTGATAGAATGCCATAAAATTGAGCTGACAAGATGTTTATGGATACGTCGATGAGGTTATGCCCGCCAAAAATGCATGACGGCAGCAAAGAGGAAGAGGTATTCGAGGATTTTACCAAGCAGTTGAGAATGCACCTCGCTCTGTACCCCTAAATGAAGGCTTGCTCCTAACGGCATGTTTGTTGGATAGAGAAGCACGTTGATGGCGGCATTATTCATGCAGAGATAGTCGTTTGCCTGTAGGGTCTACTGCAGTTCAAGGCTTTATGTATGGCAGACTAGGTGACATAGCCCGGAACAGAGAGCGCATGCCAGAAGCCGAACAGCATAGACAACAGCACCAAGCACGATAGACAATTTGCGTGCGAAGAAGGCGCATTCAGGAAACAAAACACCTCCCACGCAGGGTGCAGCGCACTGCAGAGGACAGATCCGCAGTGAAGAACCATCACAAGTCAACTCTGCGCTGGCAGAAGCTCACATTAATGACCAATAGTTGCTAGCGCGTTTTGCTGCTGAATGCGAAGTGGACCTGTTATCCGAGGCAGGGGTGCAGAAGCGCAATCTTGCAGGTCACACCCTTTGTGCATTCCCCAGTACTCAGATTTGCTGACGGACGGCAGAACACAAGGAGTGTAAAAGATACGGCGCTCAGCTGCTATTGAAAATTGAATTTGGTTCTCATCAGCATGGGGTGTGATACCATTGTTGTACCCGTGCACCGTGGCGTTATCATGGGAGTGCCGGTCGATGGCGTGCGTCCCGCCGTAGTGTTCTTGTAAATGGCGTTGTTAGAAAACTCTATTGAATGTTTAGCCAAGAGATAGCAAGAGTAAGTGGATGTGTCAAATTTTGACGAGTTGCCAGCAGGCTGGTCACTCGTTGATCGTCCAGCGCATCGTATGAAACGAATCCCCCCAAGAGCCAAATTCTGTTCCGCGTTATCGAAGCCCCACAGTGTGCAGAGAAGATTGAAACACACGAGAATAATTTGTTGCAAAAGGGCAAAATACAGGAACCAACCAGCACTTTTGGGCGTAGCCAGGCGTCGGTGCCAAAAAAAGGACACAAGATGCCGCGTATGCCTCAAACTATGCCACTGAAATAGATTGCTGCTAGGTAGAAACTTCCAATCTTCCAGACTGGTGAACTACTTGACACACTACGCGGATTGACAGTCATTAAAAACTATAATTGGCCTCACAGACGCTTTCGTGCACGTCCCCCTTCCCCTTGATGGCAGCCACAACATGGCGCTCCAAAATCGCATTAGCGAACTCGAGAATACCTGAAGGCCGTTTGGATTCGATAGTGATCTGGCTGTAATGCATTGTCAACCTGCCCGAGATTTTGCTGAGTCCATTCCAGACAACTTGGTGACCTCTTTATGAACGACGTCATATGATTTAGTCGAAACGTTGATTAGCAGTTACAGCATCTAGGACGTGCGCTACAGCGGCTTCGGTGAGAGCAGTGTCATGCGAGTACCCATTTTTCTAAGTAATATGTGTTCTTATGCCTTTAAACTGCAGAATCGGCCAAAAAGTTAAACGTACAAAGCTCAAACTTTACCTTCATGCACCCGCAAGGACAGTGCGAAGTTCCTTGCGCTTGTGTTATGCTACCTACTTTCATCCCTGGATTTGACCGGATTTCTGCATGTCTGAGTAATCTACCTCAGAAAAGGCTGCCTATGACCTGGACGAAGGAGGCTGATGCCGTAGCAGGGAAGCTTGCCAGCCGTAACAGCTCCTTCGGTACCTACGCTGCCCGATTATGAGCCTCATTTTTTCCTGGCATCAGATGCTAGTGACATAGTTGTGTGTACCATTCTCTTCTAATCCAATGAGGGTTCCTCGAAAGACCGGAAAATTGTGTTTAACTGTCCTCGCTTTGCCAAAATTCAGAAGCCGCACCCAGTGAGGGAAGTACGTTTTAGTTGTATGAAAGGGCATGAAAAAGTGCTGGCACTATATATTTGGCTCTCAGTTTATTGTTTATACCGACCATCGGCTTTTAGTGTCCCTCATCGAAAATTTGATGCCTTGGATAACCTTAGAGCTGTTCGCTGGCTTGCTGGCCCTCTGCGGTACAACTCTACACTGAAGTTCAGTAAGGAAATCACCAACGTGATTGCCAACAAGCAGTCGGGACGCTTTTGTCCTTTACTTTTGTGCGGCGGAGCCACTCGTGTCCCAAGATGATACCCGGCGGCTATGACACCAGAGCAACCGCTGCAAATACCAACATCCAGTATAGCAAATAAATCAGCACCGCTGCGTTGAAGCTGGCATGCTCTGATACAAAGCAAAGCAATAACTCACTTGCTGGTGCATCCCTCCTTTACTGTCCCTTGCCGTTTTGAGCAAAACCCCTTCATCGTTTCCATCCGAGGAAACTTCTAAATTTATCAGAAAAGCTATGACTGTCTCTTGCTGTTATTGACTCCGTTACGCGGCAGGGAGTATGCACTGTAATGCGCAGATCTTCAGCAAGCAAAGTCATGCACTTCTTTGAAGTGTGCCCCTTGCAAAGCCTTCCCGTTCATGAAAGTATTTATCCTTATCTGACCACACCTGATTGTCGAGATGCTGAAAGTCAGAAACCTCGATAGTGTCACGTTGTTGTCGAACACAGCAGAGATGCGTATTCCATCCTTTGCTTGAAACAGCTTGAGCACTCCAATAGTCGCCTGGACATTCTTAACTCATGCCTGGAAAGCTTCGCAGATTTTTCAGCAGCGTCATTAAGGATAAGGAACAGAAGCTTATTAGCGTTTTTTAGAGTGAGTGCTGGCGTGCCTTTGTTGCACTTCCACATACTCACAAAATAAGACCACTGAGAACCATTCATGAGGTAGAGCGCAGACAGGGTACACCAACCCCACACCTCTGCAGTATGCAAGACTCTTGTCACATAAATCTAATTATTTGGCTTTACATTGCTCTTTGAGCTGAGTGGGCTCAAATTAGAGCGGCATACTCGTCGATCCTTTACTCTGCTGCTTTCATGGTCGACACTGGAAAACCCCTAATCCACGCCTGGACATGGTAATGCGGGGTTGGCAGCCGCCGTTACCGGTGGAGGGATTCATAGAATGAATGGCTTGCAGAAGAATATGCATACGCAGAGCTCGAGATATTTATACACGAAATTATTATGACTGGCATTCGGCTGCGTTTATCGAGCCTGGAGACTTGTCCTGGTGGCTCGGCAGGCCATAACAAATGCGCCCCACAGGTGACCGGACCAAGAAGTTTGAGACCAGGCGACGAGGACCATATGTCAACCTGCCGCAAATCGAAGATCTTCCTTGTTGCATCAATTGTTTTTCGGCTTGCATGTGACACAAAACTATCGATAGAGACTTTCTTTAAAAGCTCCAAAGCTCCTTTCAGATTTTGGTTTTATTGATGCGTAGGTAATAGACTCGCGTGGAGGCGGGCGACGCAATTTGAGAGCTAAGCGTATTGTAGCCGGGAGGCTCTACAGAAAAGGTGATGGGAATGTTAACCTGTGATTGACGAAGGAGCAGCGGCGTGGGTGGCTGCGTGCGGGAAAATTTGCGACTCTCTTTACTTGACAGCGCTAGTCGCCTTGGATTGCGTTCCTCGCTGTTTTTGGTTACCGCTCGCTCTCGTGTATGTTCTGCGTATCATACTCACTTCTACTTTTGGTTGTAGCTTGCAAAGTTGCCGGCTATCATTTTGCAGGTTTGTCTACATTCAGAATATGCGCAGGTACTCGCATGTAGGCCCTCCCTAGATTCTTGCTTTTGCCTCTTAGGGCCTCGAACTCGACCATGGTACGTGCAATTGGCGTGTTTGCAGGCAGATATTCTGCTATGCGGGGAACGGAGTTACCAGTGAACTAGTGCGCATTCTGATTTTGCTCATCAATTTAGTTCTCTTTTTCTTGATCGTACCAGGAGGCGCACACATTTCAGCGCTCGGAGGACAACAAGATATCGTGTTGCCGTAATCGTATGTGCAAGGTCCCTGGTTCATTGGTGGTTAGTGCATGTCTTCCTTGCGATATCACTTCATCGATTGACGCATTTCTTCGCCGTACTGTTTTTGCATATCTGGTTGCCTGGGGGTTGACGATAGTGCGAGAGCTCTTCCGTTTTCCTGCACTCTGCAGCTGTTTATGACGAGCAGGTACAGAACAAGGGAGTGCATATTTCTAAATGGGTAGGGGCGATGTATGTGGCTAAGTAATACTTTAAGGCTTTCTCTTCCACTAGTAAATTTAGCCAAGGATCAGTTAAATGTGAAATAGTTGGTTCTTCCGTTTCTTCATTTCATTGATTGAATAGCACTGTTTGCTAGATTTTACAAGGCTCAATGTTGTGTGCGCATGCGCTAGATGTTATGAGCAACTAGCTTTAACTTCTCGGAAGCCTGGCGCGTGCACAAATTCGCACGTTACTTCTCCCCCTTGCCTCTACCGAAGCTGTCAGGGGTGAAGGAAGGGACGGAGGTAGCTCTCCTAAAGAACAATCAATATTCCTATGAAGTGTGGCGTGCGTCAGGCGTTGTTTACCAAAGGAGACCCTAGAGGGGGCGCTACACAAAGCAGTTCTACCGTGACCGGTAAAAAATAATCTCTTGAGTTCTCATCTACTTTAGATGAAGCTTTACGAATTCTTGTTAAGCGCTTTGCGCTGAGACCTGTAGGCCAATCCATGCTTGTGTTTTGTGATGCTTGCGCTTTCAAGTCGCGTTTCACCCACAGTTCGCTTTCCGGAGAATTTCAAGAAATGTTTGCCTCAATTTTGCCATATAGAGGAAGGAGGCGAACAGAGGAATATGCGCTGGGGGAGGTTCATACGAACACTACGTAATCAAACAGGTAAAAGGAAAACTACAAGTGAAGTAACGGGGCTGGATTCTACCAAATCAGTGATGGTGCGGCTTGTCGACTCCGCGTGCATACCCGGTGAACTTGTCATCCCTTGTTTCGTCCATAAGCTCCTTTCTAGAGGAAAAGGTAGCTCTTGTGCTTGAAAGGAGGGCTCAGGTGTTGGAGTAACAGTACCTGCGTAGGTTCCATTCAGCAGCCACGGGGTCACCGGGCATGCAGCCCCCCCTATTTCCCCGTTTCATTAGAAAACCGGTTATTCTATGTACTGATAACAGGAAGAATGCAGGGTATTTATTCTGTATTCCGCTGCTTCTCAATTTCAAGGGCCGATGGGCAAGACGGACTTTACACGCAGCGGCACAGGATTTCAAAGGACTACCAATGTGGACGAATGAAAATAAAGACGGGCTTTTGCAGAATCAAAAAATGCACGCGCAAATAGTAACGCAGCAGTTGGGAAGCCTGGATATCCTGCCTTCGGCCTCGTTCCCCCGATTTCTCTATTTTCCCTCTGTTTGATTTGCCCTTGTCTTGGCGGGTCTTGTTTCTTGGGCCAACGCTTACAGACCACACATTGCACTTCCTTTGGAGCATCCGCTTATTCTTGCATTCCTTCAGGTTGCTTTCTCTCCATCCCTTCTTCCTGGTTTCGTGCAGACCTCGATGTTTTCTGATGCAGGGCCTCAGCGCCGCAGCTCAACCCCCTCTAGTTGTGTCGCTTTCTTTCCTGGTGTGTGCGTTTTTGATTTCCATCCCTTCGTCCCACGGGGTGGTGCGTCAGCGACCTGTGATCATCCCAGCTCAATGGGGTGTTCAGACGCCCCCTGCTGCGAGCCAGTGGGTTCACAGGATCGCCACCCTTGAACAGCGGGGCGGCCGGCGACTGGCTCTCGCCTTTCTCGACGTGCGCGGCCAGACGCGCAGACCGTCTCGCCGAAAATTCAGGCGCTGTAATTTTGCAACGGCTGCAGCGGCAGAGTCCCCTGCAGCCGCAGTGCCAGCAGGAGAATCCCCCTCAGCACCAGCAGCTCGTACTGGGCTAGTATCCTTCAGTCCAGGTTTGCCTGACAGTGTGCTGCCTCCACAAACGATGTCTCCCCCGCAGGTCGATCCCCAGCTTATGGCGCCACACTCGGTGCCATCTGTTGGCACTGCTCCGTGTGCAGCTCCGGAGGCGTCCGCCGCGTCTTGTGCTGCTGCTGGTGAGCGCTGGGAGGCATTGTCGCGGGATGCTGACGGGGCGTTGCAACGCGTGGTGGGTTCATCGGGTCCACTGAGTCTGTTTGACTCTGGAACAGAGCTGCATCCCACCCTGCGGGGTGGCAGCGATGACTTTTACTATATCAACTTTCACGGAGCCTTGCAACTGAGCGCTGTCGAGGTAGCAGCAACGGCTCTTGCGGCCGCGAAGCGGTTTGTGGGCGCGCAAGAGCTCAGGCGCAAAAGGGGAAGCTGGCTTGCTCCGGAGGGAGACGCGAGGACAGCGGGAGCCCATGCAGCGCAAGACTGCTCTCACGCGGCAAGACGGCGTGGGATCCTCAGAGGAGGTGCCCTGGAGGCGGAAGCCGCCGACACTAGGCACTCCATGATAGTGGAAGCCGTAAATGTTTCGCGCTTGCTGCGACAGTCACGCTTCGCCTCTCCCCCCTACTGGCTGAGGGAGCGCGTGGCCTTTCTTCTCCGGCGCGGCTCTCCGCCGACCTCGTTTGGGTTCATCGTAGGGTCTCTGCTGCAGTGCCTCGTTGCTGTCGGGGCAGCCGAGGAGCAGCTGGGGGTGACGCTTGATGCCTTCGCTGCCCGCCGCCTCAAAAAGTACCAGGAGAGCGTTGCAGAGATGAATGCTGCACAGCAGGCCCTCCTGCTAACGGACGGCAGCCCAGGGAACCTTCGCGATACTCTCAAATTCAGGCGCGGCTTTCCACTCTTCCCCTGGGGCCTGCCTGCCGACTCGCAAAGCACTCTTGCCTTCATCAAAGAAAAGCTGAAAACCGACGAGCGGAGCCTTACCCAGGTCCGTACGATGCCTCTTTGCGAGATGGCTGGCCTCCTTTGACCCTATAACTGCGCGGGCAAGAGGCGAGTTTGACCCCTCTGCGGCCACTCGGCCCGTGGTGTGCGCGTCACGACCTTCACCTTGCCTCTTGTCTGCTTTTTCCGCGGCTTCCGCTTTCTCCTACGGGCCCCATCGCATCCGCTGCTTTCTCTTACACTCTGTGTGAGGCTGCAGCACTTTTTTGCGGCGCGAAGAGCTGCTGCCGATGCGCACTTAGCGCTTGCGCCCTGGAGGATTCCTCTGGAAGAAGTGCCGACTCATGGGCCTACTCGTCGGCTGTATGAGGGCTTCAATTCTGCGGCCATTGCTGCCATCAAGCACGTCACGACTGTAGGCTGGCTAAGATGGAGTTGTACTTCGTCTCTCCGCGCCCGCTCATCTGCTCTCTTTGCGCGAATGCCCACACCTGTGTATATAGCAGAGCGGGAATAGACGGCCTTGCACCAGTCTTTTGGCGCGAGCCGCCACGTCGCGCCGGTCGAGTGCGTGTTCGGCGCGCATGGTGGATCTGTGATGTCTTTTATCTAGTTTGACGCTCCACGCTTCTGCGTCTTCTTCCGCTGCCTCTTTGTGCAAAGCGGCGTTTACGTGTATGTGGGAAGCCCCATTGGCAGGGGTGGGCAGCGAGCCTAGGGCCGTGCCTGCGAAGCAGAACGCGTGTCTGCTGTCTGTTTTTGCGTCTTTCTGTTTGCGCCACAGTCGTGGAACCGCCCTGTGAGCGTTTTCTCTTCCTTGGAGAGCGCCGCGTCCCTTCGCAAGATCCTGGGAGCCCTGGGCCTTCCCAAAGAAGCGCTTGAGAGAGTGCACGTGGTAGGGGTAGACGGTATTCTCCTAGGCACGGACCCGGTAGGCCACAGGCCCAGAAAAATCGGTAACGATCACCACGGGGAGGCACTGGCGGATCTTCCACCCGCGCGCGAGGACTCCTCGGTGACTTGTGGGCATCCGTTGCCCCATGAACAGCGGGCAGACGCAGCGGGCCAACGAGGCGCGGGCGAGCTGCACGCCTCAAGTTGCTTCTCCGCCATGACCAATTTGGAGGCGGCGGGGGGCAACGGTAAGAGGCGGGCTGCGATAGAGAGAAAGCTTAGCGGAGCCCTTGCTCTGTGGCAGCACCACAGAGCAAGGGGATTCAAGGGGGTTCCCCACTTTATCGAGGATGACGTGGAGACACTGCAAGCTGCAGCAGAGGATCCCAGGCAAGTTTAAAGAAATTCGTTGATGGCGCACCCCGGTCCTCTTCTCTCGCATGGGGTCCCCAATATGGTGGCTTGGTTTCGGTGGGTACTTGGTGCTTGGGCGTGCCGCAGGCTGCAGCACTTTCGCCTGTACTTCTGCGATTGGGGGTATTCCTCCTACGAGGACAGATTGAAGGCACTTATTCTTGACCGGTAAGGGCTCCTCGCGTTTGCTTCTCTGATGTATGCTTTCGCGCTCGCTCGCCGTTGGAAAGTGCCTGCCTATTGCATCGTCTGGTGCACAGGAACATGGCACCAATGAGAGTCTCTGGAGGCAGCGCAACGAGGGCGCCTCGAAGCCTCTGTAGCTGCGTGTTTTTGCTCGTACCGCTTCCCTTAGAGAAGACTAGCACGTCCACAGCTCTGCTGCGCATAACTCCTTGCATCTTCTCGCCCCGCTTCATGCGGCTTCGGCGATCTTAAGTCGGTATCCTCAGTATCATGCCTTGCCATTCGTCATACGTAGGATTAAGATTTTGCCGACGATGTCACACCTCGTCTCTATGCTCCTCCTCCCCGCGTTTCTCGCGCCGCGCCTGTGGGCGGTCGGTTCCACAACGGCTCCAATCGAGTGGACTGAAGAAGGCAGAATGCAAAGGTGGCTTAGACTTTCTGGCGCTCTCCAGCAGCTAAGCGGCCCATCAGGGGCCCCCAATGGCGCGTTTCAGGAGCGGCCGCAGGGAACCTGATGGGGAGTCTTTCACAGCCACAAAGGGGGGCGCGTCGAGAAGGGGCCCTTTTTGGGACTAATCTCAAGGATTGAAGCAGGCCTCCACACCGCTTAAATCGCACTCCATCACCCAATTAACGAATTCAAGGGAATCTTAGATGGGTTTGAGCCTTCAGGGGGCTTACGTCCCACTGTAATGGTCCATAAAGTGTTTCTCGGGGGGCTACGGGGGAGACCAGGTGGGAACGATTGTTCTACATGAGAGGTCTTCCATGAGGGTCCTCTTAGCCAGATAAATTTACGGTGAAGGTTTTGCCTCTACGTTATCCACCAGCAATTAGCAGATGCCCACCCTTTACGGCACGGCGAGCCGACCGAAAATGATGTACAGGCACTACTTTACAAGCAAACGCAATAAGTCACTGGGGCACTGGGAACAGCCAAGTGAGTGGCTCCAGGAGGGCCAGCCCGTGCCTCTCTTACTCAATCCCTTCCTCATTGTTCATGCTGCTATTGCTTCCTTAGGGTAAGCTCGTTCAGCTTTCACGTTTGGCCGCGCAGCGCACGTCGCGCGCTACGAACTTTCGTTTGCTTCCTTCCCCTTGCGAGTTTCCGCTATATTCTTCGTGTCTTTCCATTTTGTAAGCCCGCCCACGAAAAGTGACATTTCGCCCTGTACGCATACTTCTCCCATGGAAAAAGCAAACCCCTACTGGTCTCTGCCTACACCCTTCTGTGCTAAAAGCAGGAACAACGACGGGGGAACATCAACGCGAAAAACTACAACAGCAGCAACAAGGACAGGTGTACCAACACAAAAAGGCACACGCTGACAGTGTGAGCAGCCCCAGGCTGTTTTTGGATGGTCGAGTATACGCCTCTGACGCCTGAAATTCCGTACATATATTGTCTATCGAAATATGAGCTTATGTGCTGTTTCCTCGGATATAAAATGGTCTACTAGGTTTCTTACCGATAGTGTCACGCTTTGCGGCAACTATAGCGCAAAGGCGACTATCCGAAGAACAAGAGGGGCAAACAACACGCGTATAAGGAAACACCTGCAGTCCAATGGCAAATAAATAGTAAGAGTGCAGTTTTCGAACTGCCATAAAATTGTGTTTGGTTTTTCTTTCGGTTTTCCTTTTCTGCGGATGGCTGCGTGCTCTGCTATGCCTGTACACCACGAGGTGTGGCTTCTTCTTATCACGCCACTGACGAGCTTCTCTCTGAGCTCTATCCTTCCCTCGGGTTTGCTCATGCGATCATCTCTTGTCGATTAAAGGAAGCTGCTGGGGTGTATTCAATGGGAATCAAGCCATACTTTCTTTCCCATTCCTCCTTCTGCCTGTGCACTTCTTCTTCAGTAATGAATCCCATTTCGATAGCATCGCACACCAGCTCATCCGGGATGTAGCGCACATAGGGACCTCCGGGTGTGTCTACAAGCATTGCTATCTGGAGAGGGAGCGGCCTTGTTTCCTCCGTACCGGCGTCTGCATGCTCCCCTAAAACGCAAGGCATCGCCTTCTCCCCGAACTCTGTTATGTCATTCAAAACACCACATATGCATTTTTCAGCAGGATGCATATCTGTGGACTCGCCAGAGTAACTCTGCCTCAAACTTTCGCCTAAATTTCCTGACCGGAAGCTCTGATAGCTTCGACTGAAGCTCTGCTTCACTGAGGTGAAGGTTTCTTGCATGCGTGAAGCAAAATTGCTTGCATGTGATTCCTTTGGCCTTTTTTTCTCCTCAGCGTTTGGTTCCAAATACTGGGAAGCCCCCTCCATCTGCTGCTGCTCCATCTCTGGTGATGCGGGGGACGAGGCCTTGGCCTCTTGCTTTGCTGCAGCTCCATGAGGAGCCCCTATTGATTCTTCATCTGCCTCCTGAGGAGGTGACAAACACTGCCTACTATGTTCTCCCCGTTCAGCAGCGGCAGCGGCAGCACCCATCTGGTGTTGCTGCTGTTCGCTTTTCAGAAGAGTGCCTCCCCGGCTTAAGGCATCTGCATCAGTCATTCCAGCGCATGACGTCGCAGTTGAATCATAACGTGCTGGCGGAGGGTTTCCGTGTACACCCGCAGTGCCGAGTCCCTGCGGGGGGAGTTCCCTGCCGGCATCATCTTGGCACCCCTCTTCACTCTGCTCTTTTCGGTCAACACCACTTCTGGGCGTTGGCATGACCTGCCCCTCTTCCTGGTGTTCATCCCCCCGGGCCTCAACCGGTTTTTCCTCGGGGACAAGGGAAGCGAGCAACTGAGGCTCTTGCGCATCGATTGTTGCAGGCGCCGCCCGCTTGGCTGGGGCCTTGGCCTTATTCTTCGTGCAGAAACCCATCGTGCCCTTCGTGCCAATATAGCGGAAGAAGTTAAAAGGTAAACGTGAAAGCAGGCGGTGAGGCAAAGCTGTTATGCCAGAAGAGACGCTGAGGTACCATCCACAGCAGCTGCCAGCGACTAACGCAACGGGGAGAGCTCTGCCGTATTTGCTCAGAACTCCAACCGACAGCTGAAATAGGTGGGCTGGTGGGGATTTGAGAAGAAAATACGTGGAGTTTTGAGAAGATTCGGCTCTACAGGGCTTTGTTATGCGTACAGAAACCCGATGCAATGTTAGGGCCACATGGGCAAGCTGTTGAGCCGAAGGACTCGCCGGAGACTTCTGAAGCAAACGCCCATTACGTGAGAAGAATACGGATTAACACGCTCAGGTGCTAAGGGTCGCTTTCATCAAGAATATGCGAGAAGCTACTGCAGAAACGGGAGAGAATTGGTAGCGTTGCGCAGCGGTGGCTCCTTGGCTTCCACAGCGCGCCTTGAAGTCTGCACACTGCAAGCCAGAGGTGCTCAACATGAAACGCAGATGTTTAAGCATTACAGAATGCCTCATTATCTATTCGAATCAATCAAGCTCGTTTATAATTGTATTTGAGACTATAAAGCATCATAAACTGGACGGTTTTGGCGTTGAAAGAAAGTGGATACTGTACAGAGCACATAGGAACACCCACGATCTAATGGACGCTGGACCGACCAACGGTCCTCAGCAATGAAAATCACATTATTTTATCGCGACTGACGTGCTACAGACATTTTTGGCTTGTTGCGTTTTGATTAACAAGGTATTTTCCTCGAGTTAATGGCAGATGTCGTCACAGCAGGGAGCGCATCAGTTGATTTACGCCTGCGTCTCGCTTTTCTAGTGCATCCCACAAAGTAATTGCGGTTACAGCAAATCGAGCACTACGACGCACAGGGCCGCATGTTCTTGCGAATCCTGCCTCACTTCATCATTCCATTTTATTCCGTTTTCATTTGGAGTTTTCTCACGACTGCTGTATTACCTTCACAGAAAGCCCTACTACCACGTTTACTCAAGAGCACAAAAAATGGCTCCAATAACGCCTCACTTTCATGATAGTCTGCTAACTTCCACCGAGCCTCATTGTAAAGCACAGTGTAGTGTGTGGTATCCCCACTTCAGCATACACATGGCCGGACCTCAGCTGTACGCTTAAGCAAACACCACAATACGCCTTTCCCTTTGTTTATTCACCCATTTCTCCTCTATACCCGAAGCCTTTATGTTCCCGCCAGTCAGTCGTTTCTTCTCACTCTATTTCTTTCTCCATTTTCTGCTCCTTCATTTTTGGTTGTTTCCATTTATTGGGTAAGTGATCTTGGTCACTCACCTTTGATTTAGCATCATGTCTCTTTTCCGGCGCGGACATATTGAACTGCTAGCACATACATCTCTGACTGTAGGCAAGGATACACATCCTCCGGCTAAGCGCCGCCGTCTTGCAAACAGTGTCCATCAATTGGTATTGCTTGCTTGGTATTCTAGAAGCACGCTGCATCGTTAGGCTGGGAAAGAAGCACCTCCCATAGAGTGAGGCTTCCTGCCCTTCCCTTCTTACTTCAGTCTGGCCCATTCTGAAGGACATGCTAGAGGGCTCAGGAACTAACAAATAACTTCAAATGCGCGTGGATGCAAAGATACATGCGTGCGGGTGTTTGCCTGCCGTCCTTGCCAGAGGGCATGCAAGTGTCAATGCACCCTGATGTGTTCACTGCAGGTTGGCTCACAAGCAAGGGGACATTTTGACTGCAATGGTGTTTGCAAGGTCTCAGGGTCCCTTCGGCAGTAGAATCGCCTTTGCCACATCCTCAACGAGCCGCAAGCCCGAATGCATTTGGTGGGCTGCAGCTGAATGTGTCAAGCAGCGACGAAAATTAATACCTGCATGGACTTTTTCCCCTGTCTCCAGTTCTACACCTCTAAAGCTCTAGTATGAATGCGCCCAAACCTTTGCCTTGGTATCCTAGGGGTCGTGAAATTCTGAGCGCCTATTGCGTTGGGTTTTCCACCTGGTCACTTGCCGAATCTTTTACTCTTCACCCCGCCGCCTTTTTGTCGCTCATCGGCGCGTGTAGTGGCAGACAAGTGAGCTCTCTGTTTTGCTTTCGCTTACTGGTCGAGAGGAAATTCGGGATAATCAGAATCATCAGACAGAGGGTGCGGCGTTCAATGCTGACATCCTGTCAATCGATGCACTGGACGGCTTCATTAGGATCGTAGAACCAACTGCCATCCCTTTTCCTATGGGCTGCTACCTGCCTACTCGCTCTTTCCTTTGCCCACTCGCAGTTTTGCTTCCTTCCCCATTAGTCCCTGCGCTTTCTTTATGATATTGGCGAGCTCAGCTCTTGCTCGGCAGCTAACTAAGTGCCTCGACCGCTTGAATCATCGGGTCCTCTTGTGCGCTGCACGAATTGCGTCTATAATGCCTCCTTGAAGCTACTTGGGGTGCTGGACGGGGAAGCGAAGGGGTGACATAGGGCGGATGGGGTGTTGACTTTCCAAGAACCGCTTCTGCCTCCGACTCGTGCAAAGCTAACGCGCCTTACAAAAATGGTCCCTTCTTCCATCATGTAAGATGCATCCGTATTTAGGCTCTTGTGCCAGTAGATTGCTGTTACTACTGCCTTGCATTTTGGATGCAGCACCTTCCCAGTTTCGCAGTTGTTCCCGCCCCCTTGAGTTTAGTTTTTTGCTCTTCGCTTGGCATCGTTGTTTTTGTACTTCCCGTGGCCTGTATTGTCATTGCCTTCCCTCTGCGCCTTTTTGCACAGCTCCTCTCTTCTCTTTGAACCCAGGCCCTTCGCTTCCGTGGTCATCCTGTTGCATCGCGCTTCATAATGCCCCTGCTCGTCGCTTGCCGTGTTTCTTGTGGTATACTTGCTAAATATAAGCAAGACGGAAACGAGCTCTGCAGTGAGGTTTTTCAGCACCCAAGCAATAGGCCCGCATTATACTGTCCCCCCACCTCTTCTGCATTCTGTATGTGTCTCTCTTTCCTTTACCACTTTTTGCGTAATGTATTGCTTCATGGCCATAGGATTTGATTTTAGACTACCAACTAATAATCACCATGCACGATGGCGCCATTTCATCCTCTTCCTTGCCCTTGTTTTTTTTTCAAAAAAATGCTGCATACTTTCTACCACTCGTTGCCAACTAGCGCAACTGCTAAATATGCATTTAAATGCACTGCGACTGCATGGTTTCGGTGTCACAGGGCAGCCCATCGCCATCAAAGTTGATGTCATAGAGGCGCTTCCGCATTTTCCATAATTTTACACATGAATTGCATTTGCGGCTAATGCATTCTCTTTCTTCTGAAGTACATTTGGGGGCTACACCTTGGGCCTTTCGTTGCTGCTTGGCACAAGGAGACACCTTCTCGGTGGGCTGCTGCTCATCCCGGGTGTATCGATGTGTCTGGCGCGCGGGCAACTCACTCCAGATAGTCCCTATAAGAAGTGCCACAAACTAAGGGGCATATCGTTTCTCTGTTCTCGTCTTTCGCAATGGCCTGTTGAGGTTATTGGTCATCAGTTCGCACTAAAACTGCGGCAACTTCAACAATTTTAAGAATAAGGGCATTATGAGGCTAGTCATATTATAGGTATTCTGACAACTGAGAATGCGGTTTTTGCTGCCCAGCACAGAATGCAAGAGTTTGGATTTCTAGTCATGGGGGAGGCAAATCGGCAGTACGCTCCTCTCTCATGTCCGTCTCGGCTTAAGCTTTCTTGATAACTCCTGCCCCCTTCCGTTGCCTTTTCCTAACTTGTGCCTTTTGCTGCCTCCCCTCAATTCACTATCTCCTTTTCTCCCGGTCCACCCATTCCTTAGCTCTGAGAGTTCAAAAAGCATTTTCCCTCCCCTTCACTTCAACTAAAGCACCACCCTTTACCGCTTTTTGTGCTTCTGTGCAGTTTCTAGATCGACTACCTCTGTCCTTTCGTCTTTTCTGCTCATTGATGACATATGCATTGAGGCGTGGAATGCCGACAATGGCATCCGCAGAAGAACAGATGTGCACAAGTGCTTTGCGTTGGGGCTATTTCGTGTTTGTGGGGAACCCTTTGATCGGGACCTCGCACTCTAGAGCAAGCAAGGCGAGTCTAGTGGAGTCTGGAGGACGATCCGTCATCCATGCCGCTATAGAAGTAGATATACCCATGAACAGAAAAGAGAGGCCTTCAGAACAAAATACACGCAGAGGAGGCATCCAGAGGGGCGGGGCAGGGAGTACACAGGGAGCAAAAGCAGAACCGAAAGCACGGCCTAAAAAAAGGAGGGCAAAACAAGCAGAAGCGGGTTTTCCGGGCTAAGTGGGTTCAAATGTAGCAGAAATGCATCAGCTGAGCGCGCTTTGTGAAGCATAGTGCCCTTCACCGTTGGCCTCGCTTTTGCAAAATCCGCCCCATGATGCCTTCGCTCTTCATCTGCATGTTGCTTTGTTCTTTGGTTCTTCCTCCTTGTCTTTATTTTAAGACGTAGCGTACATCGTGTAGAATTCCACATGCACGGTGCAATACGACTGCCAGGTGAACGCAGAGAAGCTCTCAGGGCAAAGTGCATGCACAGCAACATACTAGCTAAACGGAGGAAGTGTCAAGCCACAATGTCTGGCAGGGGACTCCTGCCACCCCCACGGTGGTGCCCTGCAGTTAGCTGCGGTGCTGCACGTACGCCTCCAGAAGCTTGAGTTGTAGAGCGCTCTCTAATCGCATACTGGGAATTTTTAAGGGTTTCACCGTCTGCTTGCATTCAATTATTAGGGGATTGTTAGGGGATACATCGGAGGCACAGGCCGTCTCCCTGTTGCCACAGAACACAACTGCCAGCCCTACCAGTACGCCCCCGAGCTGGCAAGATCAAGGAACAAAACTCCTGCGGTGATTGCAAGAGAGGTAAGCTTCGCGGCGTACGTTAAAGCATCACCGTTATCTTTGCCTCTCCATTTGCCTCCCTCGCTATGAATG